AGCCCCAAGCCCTTTTCCACAGGGGGCCTGGTGTCCTGCAAGCCTAGGATTACTCTGAGGATCAAGGAAGTACAGTGTAAATATTTGGAAGGAATGGAGATTCTTGCAGAGCCTTGGAAGGTGAGGAGGGTTAACCACCAGATAAGAGATGGAAACTAAAGTTCAGAGAGGGCAAGCAGTGAGTCTAAGGCCACACAGCCAGCTGTGGATTTCATTCCTGAAGTTTCCTCTGAGCATCTGTGGGGAGCACTTGGGGCTCCAGACATGAGGGATATGGCTGTGAGTGGGCCACACTTTGGAGCGTCCCTGGGCCTTTTTACTTGCCCCAATACTGGTCCTCTGTTTCTCTTTCTTTCTTTTTTTTTTTTTTTTTTTGGTACCTGGGATTGAGCCCAGGGGCACTCAACCACTGAGCCCCATCCCCAGCCCTATTTTGTACTTTATTTAGAGTCAGAGTCTCACTGAGTTGTCTGTGTCTGCCTGGCTCTGGGCCAGGCATGGCTAAGCCTCAAGGCCACTATGTTCAGAAGGATCCAGGAAGCAGGAAGAAGCTCATCCTGACCCCTGCAGGGCCACGGAGAAGCGTCTCAAGGACAGGAGCCCGGGCGCAGCTCCGTGGGAAGTCATCGGAGGAAGCAGAGGCCATCTTTCATTCCCTAAGTGGTCCTTCTTAGAAACCCCTGGTCTTTACAGGCAATTATTGATCATGTCACCAATGCAGAGGGAGCTAAACAGCAAATAAATCCGCAAACGATGGGGCTGGCAGCGGGAACAATTTGTTCTAGTGACATTTATTTTGGAGGGAAATTAGCCCATTATTTCCATGATGCACCCTTTTTCTTTTTTTTTTTTTGGTTTTTTCCCCCCCCCCCCCCCCCCAGCCCTGGCCGATGGTAGGGGCCACGCAAAGCTGTGGAACAGGAAAGGCGAGAAGAGTCCAAGAGGAGGAAGAGTCTCAGGGCTTTTAATCCCCAAGTTCCCGGGGCGTTTCCCAGAAGAAGGTGACAGCTACTCGGGCCACGCACTACCCTGGGATTCTTCCTTATTTTAACCAATGTAATCAGAGAAATGAGCTCAGGGAGGACACTAAGGGAAATGAGGCCCAGAGTGGTCAAGTCCCATAACTTAGAGGAAGAGAGGACCTCAGAAGTAAGCCCAGGGAGTCTGTCTTAGTTCACATTCTTCTTCTTTTCTTTTCTCTTTTTGGTGCCAGGGAGTGAACCCAGGGGTGCTTAACCGTGGAGCCACATCCCCAGCCCTTTTCATTTTTTACATTGAGACAAGTTCTCGCTAAGTTGCAGAGGCTGGCCTCAAACTGGCCATCCTCCTGCCTCAGCCTCCCAAGCCTCTAGGATTACAGGTGTGCGCCACGGTACCTGGCTTAGCGCACATTCTCAACTACTTTACTCACTTCCTCTCAAGCCTGGGATGGCAGTTTTCTGTGAAGGACCAGGTAGTAAATATTTCATACAAGAATGTGCCCAGCATGTGGGACAGAGGAAGATCTCCATCAGTGACAGGTGGCAGTGTCTCCTTTAGGGATGCCCCAGTGTCCTCAACTTCCCCAAACCCCTTGAGCTGAGAGAAGAGGGTGTTCTCCGAATGGGGAATGGGTGACATCAAGTCCAACAGAGCAACCGGAGAAAAACAGAAGCCACCTATCCAGACACATGGTTCCTTTCCATGTCCCCTCCCTTGTCTGAGGCGATGGGGACAATCTCAGGGTGCTAGACACCTTCTGGTCCCTCTGCCCTGGAGGCCAGTTGAGGTCACTGGAATTCTCTTTGCTGAGAGTCTGGCTGCACATCACCAGAGTGCCAGTCGGATCAAGGTGAGGCTGCTGCCCAGGGCATCTGGGTTCAACCCCTGGCCACAGCAGACCGGCTGCGGGGCTCTCTGAATCCCTTCAGCAGGTGAAGCAAGAATTAACGCACCTGCACAGTGGAAACTTCCTTCCCTTTCCATCAGAGACATCTTAGATCTTGGCCTCTTGGATTAGTAAAGATGGCGGCCTCCATAATGAAGTCAGTGGGGTCTTGGAAATTCATTAGAAGGTGCATTTTTTTTTTTTTTTGGTACTGGGGATTCAAGTCAGGGGCACTTAACCATTGAGCCACATCCTCAGCCCTTTTTTGTATTTTATTTACAGACAGGGTCTTGCTAAATTGCTGAGGCTGGCCTCAAACTTGCAATCCTCCTGCCTCAGCCTCCAGAGCTGCTGGGATTACAGGCATGGCTACCAAGCCCAGATGGGAGATAAGTTTTTCCTAGGAAAGTATAAGATCCAGAGATCTCACGGATGAAGAAAAAGTCATAAAATAATCATAATAATGATAGCAATTATTATTTAATAAAATTTTTTTTTTAGTTGTAGATGGACACACTATCTTTATTTTGTTTATTATTTTTTATGCGGGGCTGAGGATCGAACCCAGGGCCTCACGCATGCTAGGCAAGCGCTCTACCACTGAGCCAGCGCTCTACCACAACCCCAGC